CGCGATCCGCCGGCGGCTGGGCTTTCCCGCCCGGCGGGGGGCCGCGGGGCCGCCCCTCCGCGGCGGGCCCTGTTTCTGGAGGAGCACACCTGGTGAGGAGGGGGCCTGCCTCGGCCCTAGGCCTCGCCGGAGAGATGTCTCCGCCCGGGCCCCCGACGCCGGATCCGACTTCAGCTCCTCTGGCCTCCACCTCTGCGGTAGCTTCGTAAAGGCTGCGTGTTTGCTTTCTTCTTAAACGGCTTAAAGCCAACAGTTTTGCTGTTGCAGGAGTTTGTGGTTGTAGGTAATTGGTAGAAGTTGGCTGCCTCGGTTTCCCTCTCCCTGGTAGGGAGTTTCTGTCCCAAAGCAGCTGAGCAGCCAAGCTGTGAGCCCAGCAGGTATTTGAGGATCAGCGTGGGCTAGAAATGGCTACTGTGTCCGAAGGTGCTCTCAGAGGGGCAGTCTGGGGGTGTTGGTTTTCGAGTTGCTGGGAACGAGACTCTCCCCATACTCGGTTTTCTCTGCAAAGACCGATTGATTTTCTATTTTTAATGTGTCAGCAAGGTGTCTGGCATACAGATACTCCTCCAACATGATGAGTGTGTTACCTGTGTCTTATAATTTGTTGTTTTATCCTGCAGTGAAGGTTATTTGTCCAAAACTGGTTTGTCTTAAATCTTGAAGGGTGAAGGCTTGCTTTCTGACACCTGAGAAATTTAGCTTTGCTTTCCTGAATGAGAGCTAAAAAAGTATCCTGAAGCTTTCAGTTTGCATCAGTTCGAAGTTTCAGGGCATTAGGAAAGTGGTTCTGTAGTGCCATGAGCTCTCAGATTTCACCGGGAGGGTAAAATTTGCTAAGTGAGTTAAACCTGTAAAAATACATGACCTATTTTTCCATGAAGGGTATGCGGTGGGTGGTCAGGGTTAATAATCTGCATTAAGTAGTGTTGGTGAGTATGATACATAAGCATTAACCATACTAATTTAGATTATTTCAAGGGTGGGGTAGAACGTTCTGAGTCAGTGCCTCATACCGGACTGTTTTTTCTGTTTGATGATAGCTGTGTATGCCTATCCAAGACACTTTATTGTCATGAAATTGAATTTTTTTTCTATTAGCACTGGTGTAGCAGCATGGATCACACTTGCTCTGTTGGCTTTTTGAGGTAGAACTTGGTGCTTATGTGTGTGATGACCAGTAATGATACTTAGCCTTGGTGTCTGGAGGACTGGATTCTGATGTCCTTTACTTGTAGTTCCTGTGTATAAAATATTTGTATATAAGATGCTTCAGGGTGAAGTATTCCAGGCTTGGTCTCTGCCAAGGAGATGACTTTTTAAATTTTTGGGGGGACTCTAGCAAAGTTGCAGGCTTTTCTTGCCTGCCTGAAAAGCAGTTGTGGGGAGTTTTTCAAACAATGAGACAGCTCTTGGCTGTCAGAGGACCTACCTGATATGTGAACTGGAAGGAGTCCTTCATGGCGTGTTTTTTTTAGGTGTTCTAATGGTGACTTGGGAGCTAAAACACCTTGTGAAAACTGTATGCAGTCACACCCATAAACCCTTTCCACACTTTGCAGGAAGATGCAGAATGCTTCAAGCCTACTGATACATGTATACTACTCTATAAACACCTAAATATCTCTCTCCTTTTTTTTTTTTCTTTCTAAAATATGTGAACATTGAGGTGGAATGTATGCTAGACGGATACTAGAGTAGGGCAATAGTGAAAACTGCACATGTCTGTAGGCTGCCTAAATTTATCTTAATAACTTTGAGGAGGTGGAACACTGGACAGCCAGGAAGTCTGTTGGTTTTTTTCCCTCTCTCGAAGTAACTATTTTATTTGAGAACATGTAGTGAAATGAGATAAAAAAATTTGTTAGACATTGCTGACTTGTGTAGTTTGCTACTGTCTAGAATGGCCAAGATCACGGTCTTTTTTTTTAACCATTAAAAATTTAGAAATATTCCTCCCACTATAACTGTTAGTTTTATAATTTAACAATGTAGACAATATTATTCTTAAATATATTTTAAGCATGAAGGAAAGGTAGAATCTGGTTCTACATGTATTGTTATCATGCAGTTAAAACATAACTTAGTTTCTCAAGATCAGTTTCCTACATCCATTGACTATATCCACATATGCAGACCCCAGCAGATTCAGTCCAGTTTTGTGTGGATGCAGTTAGGATTAGGACCTTCTAATCAGTAATTTCAAGGGAAGATCATACTTCCTGTCAGGAAAAAATACTGGGTGTGTTTTTTATTTGGCCCTTACTGCAGGTCGTCTTATTTTAGTTGCATCAGAAATCATGTCATTGGATGCCAAGCACATATACTTATTTACCTACTTAGCAAACACTGTTCCCCGATTCTTCATCATCTTGGCCATCAGAACTTATTTCTGCAGTCACGTTGAATACATTCTGTCTGCATGCGTTGAGTCCTGCTGCAGTGATCATTTCCCTAGTCTGTTGGGTTGGCCTTTCTGTGTCTTCTCACTTCTTCCCCTTTTCTTGTTCATCAGATGTCTCCTTTGCTTTTCAAGACCCAGTGTAGCCTGTTTCCATGCAACTTTGCTGTTTCAGCACTTTTTTGTCTGATTAGGCCATGACAGGGACAAGTTGCAATGCTCTGTCTCCTGTGTTTTTAGGCAACTGTCTTCACCATTCTTGCCTCTCATGTGGTAGCAGCTGTACTGCCCTGACTACAGCGACGTGGATGGTGTTTTACAACTCTGGCTCTTGCTCGTCAATAGTGTCTTAAGCTCTGATAGGAGCAAACATGAAATAGGATTTCGATGGGACTTAGTTTACAAGAAGTTTTAGAATGTCTTTCAAATTGATGGCCTGTGCTGTCTGCATTTGCAGCCTCTGTTGCCTCTAAAGAAGGCACTTCAGAAAAAGTGAGGAGTATATTTCTTTTTCCAATTTTTTTTCCCTCCAGTTGCTCATTAAACTGCTTTGAGATGCTTAGTGAGGACTTCCTTTGAATTTATTAGCAGCTAAATTTTTGACAAAGTAATTCTCAGCTTAGCAAGACTACTTTTGTTGCAGTACTGATGATGATTGACAAGATTTTTGAAATTTGACAAAGTAGAAAAACTTTTTTTTTCTTGTCCACAACTAAAAATGAGCCATACAAAATCAGCTCTGACACATTGGTGTTTCTTGTTACTGCAGCTGGTCAAGATAGTTCATGAACTACATGTAATATTTCCTTTCCATTAAACAATCTACTTTTTATTTATAAGAGATGTTTAACAAACTTTTTTGTTAAACTTTGATAGCTGCTAACCATTGAAAACTGTTTTTGAGCAAAACCAGGCAAATTAGCCTTGGTTTTAAGTATAAAGGTTGACTCAGCAGCTTAATTTGCTTTATAATAATAATGAATTAGTCTTAGTGAAACAGCAGCAGATTGTAGTGTACATGTTAGTCCAGTTCTGAAAGATGCAGAACACAGTTAACTGCTTGATACATTATAGCCTTGTTAATTTTTTCTGTTCCTTGATACATGGGTGTGGAAGGTTGCTCTGATGCTTCATGTGACTAAACTATGTTTTGCTGGTAGAGAGAGCTTCAAATGTGTAGACAATTAGCAGGGTGTGGAAAGAAATTAGTTTTCTGTCCTTTTGTGAAACTTGTATGCTGGGGCTTTGCCTTGGTGACAATGTTTTGGCAGATGAGCTGTAGCTAGAGCATCAGTTGGAGCCCCTCTGGAGGTGAAAAGCCTCTCTTCTTCAATATATTCTGTAAACGAAGGCTACCCTGTTGCTGGTCTGCTCTGTGTCCCTAATTGTTGCTATGACAGCTCTTTTAATAACTCCATATTCTGTGGAGTGTCAGTTAAAATTATGTGAGGAATGGTAAAATTAGGAAAATTAACCTTTTACAAAGAATGGATGTCATCTGTTCCTAGTGTTTTGTTTTTAAATATTTTGTTGGCTGTTAGTAAAAGATAGTGTCTAAACGCTCAGGACTATTCTTAGGGTGTACAGTTGGGCCTAAACTGCTGAGACTGAATGTAGATTTCTGCAACAGCTCTAAAATGTCAGTCTGGACCATTCCCCAAAACAGTGCGGAAGAGGAAAAGTGTAAAGTTCCTTAGTTCAATAAAAATAATAATAGCTTGTCTGGTTAGATAGCTGAAGGAGCTCCAAATGACGATTTCCTCTGTCTGGTTGCACTCTAGGGAATTATCTCTGTTTTAAATATGTTTGTCCCTTTCTCCCCACCCTTACAAAGATGACAAAGCATGTTTTCCTTTGAACTAGCATTAGAAGAGTTGCTATTATTAGAAACAAGAAACCATTCGCGTTGAATGTAAGTTATTGGCAACACTTAAAGAATTAATATTTTGAAATCCCATTAGCACTTTTCACCGTTGCTTGGCTGAGAGTACTGAGGCTGGAATAACAGAAAAATCAATTGCAATTGGCACTTCCAGTTATACAAGAGAGAAACTTCAAGAAGTACAAGGCATTGTGATCTTGGGCTTAATTGCTTGTTCTGTCCTGTCCCCCCATTGTCCCTGTGTCCCCCCGCCCCCGTAATGTCCGATTTCTGAATTGAAAAAATGAGGCATTATTTAATGATATAAACATATTGAAATATTTTAACAAGAGCACTCTAACCTTGTTTACATAATTTCTATAGT